CCTCCCCCTCCTTCTCCTCCTCCTCTTCCTCCTCCTCCACCTCCTCCTCCTCCTCCTCCTCCTCCGCTTCCTGCGCCTTCTCCTCCACCTCCGCCTCCTCTTCGACCTTGTCCCCACCACCACGATCATCATCATCATCATCATCATCATCATCATCATCATCATCATCATCATCATCAGCAGCAGCAGCAGCAGCAGCAGCAGCAGCAGCATAGCATCATCATCAGCATCATCATCAGCATCAGCAGCATCACCATCAGCAGCATCATCGTCAGCATCATCAGCATCGCCATCAGCAACAGCATCCGCATCAGCAGCATCATCATCATCATCATCATCATCATCATCATCATCATCATCATCACCATCATCATCATCATCATCATCATCATCATCGTCGTCATCATCATCATCATCATCATCATCATCATCATCATCAGCATCATCATAATCATCATCATAATAATAATAATCATAATCATCATCATCATCATCATCATCATCATCATCATCATCATCATCATCATCATCACCGTCCTCCTACTCATCATCATCAGCAGCAGCAGCAACAGCATCATCATCATCATCATCATCATCATCATCATCATCAGCATCATAATAATCATCATCATCTTCATCACCACCATCATAATCATCATCATCATCATCATCATCATCATTATCATCATCATCACCATCGTGATCAGCAGCAACAACATCATCATCATCATCATCATCATCACCATCATCATCACCATCACCGTCACCATCATCATCACCACCATCATCAGCATCAGCATCAGCAGCAGCATCAGCACAATCAGCATCAGTATCACCATCATCAGCATCACCAGCATCATCAGCATAATCATAATTAGCAGCATCAGCATCCTCATCATCAGCAGTATCACCATTATCATCGTAATAGTCAGCATCATAATCATCAGCAGTATCGTCATCAACAGCGTCATCATCATCAGCATTAGCATCATCATCATCAGCAGCATCAGCATAATCTGCATCATTATCATTATCGTCATCATCATCATCACCGTCATCATCAACAGCATCACCATCATCATCGTCGCCATCATCAGCCTCATCATCATCATCATCATCATCATCATCATCATCATCATCATCATCATCATCATCATCATCATCATCATCATCATCATTATCGTCATCATCATCACCAGCATCAGCATCATCTGCATCATCGTGGTCATCATCATCATCACCACCACCACCATCGTCATCAGCAGCATCACCATCAGCAGCAGCAGCATCAGCATCATCATCAGCAGCATCATCAGCACCACTAAAACCACCATCTCACCACCACCACCACCATTATCGTCGTCATCATCATCATCAGCAGCAGCAGCATCATCACCAGCATCATCATCAGCAGCAGTATCATCAGTAGCAGCATCATCAGCATCATCAGCATCATCAGCGTCGTCATCATCGTCAGCGTAGTTCTTCAGGAAATCGTTATTGGGGCTGTCCTGAGCAACAGGTCTTGAGCAGCGCTGCCTACAACGCTTACCGCCTGGGGCGTCGTTGCGGCAGTGCCCTTCTCCTGCTTTCCGGACCTTGGTGTTTGGACCCAGGCCACCCGAGGGAACGGGGGAGGGCATAAGGCCTCTGAGCCGGAAGAAGACCGTTTACAACCACTTTGGACTGTTCAGGAACTACTTCGGTCGGATTTCAACCACTGGAAACGGACTGATCGCAACCTGAAGGATTCCTAGACAAACCTTCCTGAAGAACACCGGATTGCAACCGATCCAAGAGCTTATGCAGAGCTTTTGCAGAGCTCTCAGCAAGGCCTCTGAGAGGCCTCAGCGAGGCCTTTCAGAGGCTTTGGAGATGCCTTTCAGAGGCTTCAGAGATGCCTTCCAGAGGCTTCAGAGAAGCCATTTTCAGAGGCTTCCCTGAAACCTTTCAGCGGCTTCTCTGAAGCCTTTGAGAAGCTTTTCAGAGGCTTCTCTGAAGCCTTTCAGAAGCTTTTCTGAAGCCTTTTCAGAGGCTTCTCTGAAGCCTTTTCAGAGGGTTCTCTGAAGCCTTTCAAAGGCTTGTCTGAAACCTTTCAGAGGCATCTCTCGAGCCTTTCCGGGGCTTGTCTGAGAGGCTTCTCTGAAGCATCTGATAGGCTTCTCTGAGGCCTCTGATAGGCTTCTCTGAAGCCTCTGATCGGCTTCTCTGAGGCCTCTGATAGGCTTCTCTGATAGGCTTCCCTGTGGCCTCTGATATGCTTCTCTGAGGCCTCTGATAGGCTTCTCTGAGGCCTCTGAGAGGCTTCTCTGAGGCCTCTCAGAGGCTTCTCTGAGAGGCTTCTTTGAGGCCTCTGAGAGGCTTCTCTGAGAGGCTTCTCTGAGAGGCTTCGCGCCCAGATTGGGGGGGGATTCTGGGGGTCGTCGTTCCGGAGAGGTCATGACGTTGGGGATCTGGGCCGCCGCGTCTACCCGCCTTGCCATCTTGTCCTCCTCCTTTTCCTCCTCCTCATCCTCATCATCCTCCGCCTCCTCCTGCTCCGACTCCCCCTGCTCCTGCCCTTCCTCCCTCCCCTCCTCCTTCTCCATTCCTCCTCCCTCCCTCCTCCTCCTCCTCCTCCTCCTCCTCCTCCTCCTCCTCCTCCTCCTCCTCCTCCCCCTCCTGAGATGCAATGTGTTTCAGACCGGGCGTTTTTGCTCAGTTTCGGTTTCAATCGTATACGAATCACATAGGAATCGTATACGGATCATGGCCACGTTCGAACTCAAATACATGTGTTTACCTGAGATCATGATCGGCCGTCGGTAATCGGACCGATCGCAACCGCTTGTTCATATTCCCATTGGTCGGCTTAAGGAGCTCATTGCGCCCAGAAGCGCTCTTCTGATCTCTTCCTGAATCGAAACCTGATTGAAACGACCCAAAAACATCGCAACCACTTCGGACCGATCGCAACCGGTTGCGATCGGTCCGAAGTGGTTGACGATCGGTCCGAAGTGGTTGCGATCGGTCGTGCTCCCGCCTCTGAGCCAGTGCTTGTCTGGAAGAGTCCGCGGTTTCTTCGCACTCTCCAACATAGGGTCTCGATTCGGGCGCACCCCAAACGTTCAGCCCTACCCCCTAAATTGTATCGCTTACCTTTGTCATCTCTCTTCTGTGCAAAATACTCTTCCTTATCGCACTGCCAGGCATGTCAGCAGGGTGGTCTGGGCGTGTCGCAGGAAACTTCACCGTCATGTATGGCCCCGAAGCTTAAAAACCCTTTTGCACATGGATGGAGGGCGGGTAGTTTGCAAAAAAGTGACTCCCGCCGCACACATTCATCTTCAAAGCTTCCGGCAGCATCACGGATGGAGGGCGGGTCGGTGTTACAATCGCCTTAGAACGGCGCGCACACTCCTCTCGAAAGCTTCCGACAGCATCACGGACAGAGGGCGGATCGTGTTCAAAGTGCTGGCTCTAGCCCTGGCGCCGCGCAAATTCGTCTTCCAAGCTCCCGACAGCAAAAGAACATGTAGAGCGGCTTCCTTACCGACCTGGGGATATCACTGAAAGACTCCCTCTGAATGCTTGATTTGATGCCACAGCTGCGCAAAGCAGCTGCCAGGATGGAGAAAGGCTCCTTTTCAAAACGTGACGCTCCGTTGAGACTCCCTCTACATGTTTAGCATGATGCCACATCTGCGCAAAGCAGCTGCCAGAATGGAGGACGGCTCCTTTTCAAAACGTGACTCTCCGTGGAGACTTCCTCGCACATCGTGAGCCGAGGGGCTCGGCCATGCAAAAGGGCAACGTGTGTGCCACGGTCACACGGGTGGAGGGTGGCACTCTCTCTCAAAGCGGGGCTCTCGCTGGATGCTCTCTTTCGCTGGTCAGTCCTACAGTTAAGTCGGGCCTGTCCCCCTACAGGGGGGGGTTGGGCGAAAGATTAAGCATAGTCAAAAGATACTCCCTACGTGCTCAAAAATGTTCAAAAAGTGGTCCCCGGACTATTTTTTGACTATCTCTGAATACTCCCCCTGTAGAGGGACAGGCCCAACTTGATCCTGCAGCGTTCCTCAGCGCAACTTCCTCTTCCAGAACGATGCTCTTCGCCCGAACTGCAGGCCCTCTCGGGCGCCTTGCCTTTCCCGGGGGCGCTCCCCGCAGCGAAGAGAAGGAGTGCCTCCGGGGACCCGTGGGGAGGGGACTGGGGGCGGGAGAGAGTGCGCGACGGCATCGCTGATGGATCGTGGGCTTGTCGTGGTCCGCCGCCTCCTCCTCGTCCCTCCCCCCCTCCGTCCCTCCCTCCCTCCCTCCCTCCTCGTCGAGAAACCTCCCTCCCTCCCTCCCTCCCTCCCTCCCTCCGTCCGCCCCTCCCTCCCTCCTCGTCGAGAAGCCGGCCGGACGCAACTCGGAAACTGGTCAAGGTGGCTGCGGGAAGGGGTTGGGGAGCCAGTTTCGAGCAGATTCGGGGAGAGAAGGAGGGAGCGAGGGAGGGCGGGATCGAGGAATCGAGGGATGGAGCGGCTGAGGGAGGGCGGGCGGGGTCGAGGAATCGAGGGATGGAGCGGCTGAGGGGTGCAGGGATGAGGGGGAGGAGGGAGAAGGGAGAGAACGAGCGCGGCCTCATCGCACTTTTTGACGCACTCGTCCAGTGCACTCACCGCGAAGTCGCCGACGCTCTCCCCCTCCTCCAGCACCAGCGAGCGCTGCCAATACCTGTTCTGGCGGGTGCTATTCTTGGTGTTGTTCTCGGCCCCCGTCCTGGCGGAGACGTGGATGCCGTGCTCGTGGGAGCACCAGGACCTCTGCGTGGCCGACCAGTCCTTGAAGTCCACGTGCCAGCAGTCGTGGCTGGCGACCAGCCTCCCGAGCAGCTCGAAGATCTCCGTCGTCGCGTCCGCGTCTGCCAGCTGCAGCCTCTGTGCCTCGGTCAGCGGGTGCGCCGTGTCCTCCCCAGCGCTGCTGGCCTCGGCCCGCCCATCGTCGCCGATCAGCTCCGAGATGTGGGTGATCACCTCGTGGCAGTAGCACAGGCGGTGCTTCATCTGAGGCGGATCCTCGACAGGCGTGGCAGAGCAGTTGAAGCTGTCGAACGACCTGTTCTCGGCCGACCTGAAGCAGCCGCGCGCGAAGACCACCGGGATGTCGGCCTCGGTGCCATAGTCGTCGAGGCAGTCGCCATCGTAAGTTTGGAGGTCCAGGCGGTTCGAAGACTTCATCAGGTCGAGCACCTGCTTCAGCCGGAGTAGCGAGTCTGAGACAGATGGGTCCGCGGGGCGAGGTGCGTTGGCACACAATGCTCGCAATACTTGGCGCTCGGATGCCATAGCTTGCGCGCTGGGTGCAACCGTTGCGCGTGGGTGCAATTGTGTATCTTTGTTGTCGCACGCAGTAGTTGTCGCCCGTGCAGCAGCTCGCGCCCCGCGTCATATTTGCGTACGATTGCACGCAACAGTGTACAAGTAGTGCACACTTGCACATCTCCCCGCCGACCCATCTGCGCCAGACCCTCTACTCCAGCTCAGAACCTCCTCCGCGCTGTCCACTTCGGCGTTGTGGGCGTACAGGCCAGCCTCCGTACAGATGAGCCCGTGCGACTCGCAGGTGCTGTCGCAGTCCCTGTCCTCCAGCCCCGTAATCCACGAGCCGCTGATCTTGCGAACCGACTCGGGGTTACCACGCAGGTATTCGAGAACGTCCGTGCTCTCTATGCCAGACAGGTGCTCCCCTCGCGCCGCAGTGACGCCCGGGATCGGGCTGCAGCAGGCGGCCGAGTCCAGCTCGTCGCACTCCTCCTCCCTGCAGTGGGCGTGGCTGGCCGAAAGCCTGTGCATGTGGCCCACCGGGCAATCGAAGGGAAACTCTCTGCACAACGCCATGGGCTTGCAGCAGGCAGCCTTTTCCTCGTCGGAGCACACCTTTCCAGCACAATAAGTCTCGTCGGCATCGCTGGTAAGCCAATGGCCTTCAGGGCACTCCGCGTCCGTCATGTCGCTCGCACAGGTGGCCTGAGCGTCACAGCAGGTGGACTCGTCGTTCTGCACGGTACAATTGGAATACTTGCAGAGCAGCTGCTCGCTCCCAGGCTTCGGTTTTGAGTGAGCCGGACACGTGAAGCTGGGGCACATGGCTCGGGCTTCGCAGCAGATGGCTGCATCCTTTTCAAGGCACTCGCCGCCCCCGCACAGCGTCTTGGTGGGGGGCTGCACGACGGCCTGCCCCCCCGGGCACGGCCATCCGAGTGCAAAGTCGCGGCAGCTGGCTTTGGGCGCGCAGCAAGTCTTCTTGTCCTCCTCGGCGCACACGAGACCACCGCAGAATGACGTCTCCGCGTCGATCCGAACGGCTTCGGCGGCCGGGCAGTCCCCCGCGTAACTGCTGCAGGTCGCCTTATCCTGGCAGCACGTGTCGTGGTCCTTTTTGGAACACTTTGAGAACTCGCACTCGATAGTGTCGGCCTTATCGGCAAGAATCATGCCGTGGCCGCATCCCGAATGGTAGGTACTACAATTGGCTCGCTGCTCGCAGCATGTCTTCGAATCGTCCTCTGTGCACTCACTCCCGCTGCATAGCACATCATTACTGTCGAGACGGAGGGCGGTGTGCTCTGGGCACGCAAAGCCAAAAGCGCTGCAGGACGCCCGCTTCACGCAGCAGTGAGCAACGTCGAGGTCAGAGCATTTCTCCTCCAGGCAGAGCCGCGACCAGGCCGAGGCGCTCTCGTCTACTGCCTCGTGCTTGGAGACCATGTCCCTCGGGCACCGCATGTTCTCGCAAGCCTCGGGCCAAATCCGCAGACCCCTCTGCGGTCACCCGGCGGGTGGCCTTCCAGTCTCCTCCCGGCCCACAAATTCCGAATTTGAAACAGGGGGGGGGCGGGGGCTCATCCGGGGAATCCCGAGCAGCAGTTCTTCTGCAAGACGGCTGCTGCATGGCCCAAGGGAGGCCCTGGAGGCCGCCAGGATGACCCGAGAGACACCCAAGACGGACGATGAGGTACCAAGGAGCCCCCAAAATCAGGTGGACGCGTACGTGTGCATTTCGGATTTCTGGTGGATTCGGTGTGGCGTTTCGTGCTTCGGGGTTTGGACAGGTGGGGCTTTGATGCTTGTGCCGACGACGATCACGTGGTGAATGAATCGAGATGGATCACGAATGGTCGAAAACCTCCCTGGGACAGCGCCAGAGTAGGCCCTAAGAGGGTCTACGACTGCCAAGATGGCCCCCAGAGGGGTTCAAGATGGTCCAAGGCCGCGACGACGGACACGACGCATCTGCCTACCATCGCCGAAACTTCGCGCCATCCTCCTTGCCCGGCCTCGGGCATTCCTAGATGGCCCAACGAAGGTCCCACGACCGTCCAGGACAGCTGCAAGAGGGCCCGAGAGTTCGCAAGACTGCCCGACAAAGCACTGCCAGACGGCTCGAGGAGAGCCCGAGAGAGTCCCACTGGGTCCCCAAGATGACACCACATGCTCCAAGAGGACCCCGAGAGAACCTCCAGATAGTCAAACTCACGAGCAAACAGAAACACTGCAGGGTGTTCCCCCGTGATGCTTGTCTCCCAAATAATTTCGGCCGAAGACGTCTCCAAAGAGGGCTGCGGAATAGCCAAAAACAGCCCAAGAGAGTCTCAAAAAGGGCTACAGAGGAGTAAATGCCAGAGAGAACCCCAAATCAATACAAGAGGGATCCCAGACAGTCTAAGACGGGCTCAAAAGGCCTCCAAGGCGGTCAGGAATGGCACAAGACGAAGACGACCCATGAGCGCCCCGAGATGCCCCAAGAGGGATCCCAGACAGATCCTAGAGGGCCCAAGAGGGCCCATACATGCCTCCAAGGAAGCCCCAAACAGACAAGAGGGCCCCAAGCGCACCCACAGACTGTCAAAATGATTGAATCGTGTTTGAGTAGTTGGCTCTTGCTTGCTCAAAGTAGCTCGAGAGGAATCATGAAGAGCCTGCGAGGCTCACAAGTTAAGCCCAAGAGGGAACCCAGGCGGCCCCGAGTGATCTATAAGAGGCCCTCTCAGAACGGCCCCTGGAGCAACCCGAACCTACCCAGTTAAACTCTCACACAATCCAAGAGAACTCCATGCCGGTTCAACACGACCCCAGAGGCCCCCAAGACATCCCAATATGGCCACACGGCGGCCCAGCCCAACAATTCCCCCTAAGGTATCCCAGGACAGGGGGCCGTCGAAGCCCGGATAAAGCGCCAGAGAGCCCCATGAGAACCGCAAGAAAGAGGAGGAAGACCGAGACCACTACAAAAACATCATGAACACAGCCGCTGCCTGCTCGCATGGAAGAACTGGATCGGGCAACCGTCCTGCGCGTACAGGGCGCCTCTGAAGATTTAGCGGCGCGCACGTTGGGGCAGGGGGAGGGGAAGGCTTCCTGGAAGGAGGCTGGCTTCTTAGAAGGCGCGAGCCTCACATCTATAGATAAGGCCCGCGCCTTCTGAGCAGGGGTGCTTCGAAGAAGCCTTCCCCCCTCCCCCCTACCCCCCCCCCCTGCGCGTGGCTGAGCAGAGGCCTCCCGGAAACGCTAGGTCGGGCAGGTTCTCCTGCAGTGCAGGCGGATTTCGGCAGAAACATGCAAAAAGGAGTTAACCCAACACGTATGCAAAAATTGTCAAACGTTGTTTTTGCTGCTTGTTTATATATATGTATATATATACACATATATAGAGAGAGGGAGAAAGAAAGAAAGAAAGAAATAAAGAAAGAGAAAGAGAGAAAGAAAGAAAGAAATAAAGAAATAAGCAGCACACACACACACACAACAAAAAAAAAAAAAATGGAGTCGCCAGCCGCCGCCGCGCCCCTCCCGCGAGCTGCGCGCCCGCGCGGCGCCCGGGGAGGGCCCCCGCGCGCGGCGGGGCCCCGCGCGGGAGGGCCCCCGCGCGGCCCCACGGCGGAAAGGCCCCGGGGGGCCCGGCAGGGAAGGGCCCCGGGGACGCAGAGAAACGGACTTTTTAAGTCGGGCGTGTCTCGGGCGGGCGAAAGGGGGGGATAGCAAAGGGGGGGGGGGAGAATCAGCTCACGTAGAGGGCGGGGGCCCCGCGCGGGAGGGCCCCCGCGCGGCCCCAGGGCGGAAGGGCCCCGGGGGGCCCAGCGGGGAAGGGCCCCGGGGACGCAGAGAAACTGAAGGGGCCCCAGGACACACGAATAAGTACACACAAATACAAAGATTCCCCATAGTTTCCCATACTTTCTGGGTTCTTGTCTTCCCCCCCACTTCCCATAGTTTCCCATATGTTCTGGGGAATCGAAGCTTAATTGTGTCTGTGTGTTTTTTTCCCTCCTGAGAAACAAACTCTTGGACGCCCGGAATGGGCACGGAAAGAAGGGGCACAGTACCCAACAACGCATGCAGTCCCAAACCAGCAGCGGCCGCTGTTGGGCAGGCGGCCATTCTGTCTCGGATGGACACAGGCCGCGGCGGCGTGGACAGCGAACCCTGTTCAAAATGAACAGGAAGTTCTGTTGGGCATTGTACCCATTCTTTCCGTACCCATTTCGGGCGTCCAGAAGACTTAAGTCGGGCGTGTCTCGGGCCGGGCGAAATGGGGGGGATAGCAAAGGGGGGGGGTGAGAATCAGCTCACGCAGCTGATTTTCCCAGCGCCTCCCGGCGCCGGGAGGCGCCCATGTATCGAAGAGTGGGCCTGGCGGCGGGGCCGAAACCAGCTGCATGCAGCAGATTTCGTAACCCCCCCCTTCCCCTATCCCCTATCCCCCCCTTTCGTTCGGCCCGGGTGTCCCCCTACAGGCGGATCTTGGACGAAAAATACAAAGTAGTCAAAAAATATCCCAAACATACTCCAAAATAGTCAACAAATCATCCCCAGACTATTTTCTGACTATGCTTGAAGATTCCTCCTGTAGAGGGACAGGCCAGACATAAAAATAGACACACTAATCCCGGGTTTGCCCCCTATGTTTCCACATGTTCTGGGTTTCGCCTTCCCCCCCCCCACCCGATTCCCATATTTCTCCGCATCGCCGATGCATCGGCGATGCGGCGCGATCCTCCGACCCCATCTACTCGGACCCCATCCAGGAGTCCTAGATCCCTGGAGGCGACGGATCGAGGACCGAGGTCTCCAGACAGCGGGCGTCTCGAAAAAATCGAGACGAAGGTTTTTCGTCGTCTCCGGCCTCTCGGGGTCCTCGCCGGGCCTCGACAGCGGGCGTCCCGACAAAAAATCGAGACGAAGGTTGTTCGTCGTTGTCGGCCTCCTGGGGTCCTCGCCGGGCCTCGGGGCCGTCAAAGAACGACTCGGGATGAGAAACCGGCCCTGGGGAAGTGGTCGGGAGGTCGGGTGCCCGTGTCTCGAAAAAGTCGAGACGTCGGATGCCTGGGTCTCTGGGCGCGTCTCGGCGCCTCTCGGCCACCCCACGGGGGGTTCGCGTCGTCACGGCCACACTGCCGTCGAGCTCCTGGCCAGAACGCACCTCAGGAGAAGGTCGGGGGTCGATCCCGGAGAGGATGGGTGAAGCAGCTGGGCGGACCCGCCGCTGTGACGTCGCCTTGGTAGGCCCAGCAGCTGCCCTGGCGCACGGTGGCCCGGGTCGCGCCACCGCCAGGAGCCTGGGACGACTCCCCAAGCTGGGAGGCTTGGAAGCGGGCACCAACACCAGCACCAGGGCCTGCCTCGACCAGGGGAAGCCGATCCTAGATTTTGGTGTTGGTGGTCATCCTTCGGCCACCTGGGAAGCCCGGATCTGATCACCATCACGGAGACCGGGATCATCGTCCCTCGGTGGAGGCGCGCCACCGATAGTGGTGTTGGTGCTGACCTCTCGGCCTGCGACAGGTTGGTCGCTGAGGAGGCCCGCGGAGAAGAATGCCCAGAGGCTCAATTATGCCATGGCCCAGCACAGCCGCGCCCCTGCGAAGTGCGGTCGACCCGCGCCGAAGAAGAAGAAGAAGAAGAAGAAGAATAACAAGAACGGAGTAGGAGCAGGGACAGGCAGAGGATGAGGGTGAGAAGGGGGAGGTGGCGAAGGACGATGGGGAAAGGAGTGGCAGGAAAGTGGAACGACGAAGACGAGGGAGGAGGGCGAGGAGGAGAATCTCAAGGAGAAGAAACCCAGGGGGGGGTCTGGCCGTGTACCCCCCGCGCAGCGGTATGCATCATCGTCACGGCGTAGTCCCGCTGGGCAAGACCAAGAGTCACACGAATCGTGTAGTTCTGGCGGCCCTTGTCGATATGCACCTGATGCGGCAGGCCGTTGCTGATCTTCTCGCGGCTGCTCCCGCTCGCACGCTGGAGCGTCATGTACACGCCGGACAGCCCGTGGAACATTGGCACCAGCTTCGCATCCGCCGTCTGGGTGCGGCAAACGATATCCCCGGGCTGTTTTTTCTGCGCCTCCGTCCACGGGATCAGCAGCGAACGATCCGCGAAGACCATGTCGGAAGCATTTGTCCCCTTGGGTGGGACCGTCGGCAGTACCGATGCCCCCTCCTTCATCACGCAGTACCCGTCATGTGGCAGCATCTGTACCATCAGATGAGCTGTGTCCTCACTGTAGGTAATGTTCCTCCTGAAGTTCAGCTCGTAAGTCTGCTCGTACGTCTCGGGCGACCATGTCTGGTCGAAATAAATGCACTGGATGGTCACTGAGTGTCTGGCCTCGGAGAACTCCACGGGGATCCAACTGTGACTTTGGGCCGGCTCGCCGTTGAATTTCATGCTTGTGGCCCACTCCGTGCAGTTAGTCTGCACTTCGATGCTGGTGGCTGCCGCGTCGAGCTCGTAGTTGTATCCGCCACCGTGCATTCGGCACGTATTAGTGGAGTACCCCAGAGCTCCTGCAATTCCGAGAGCTCGACAAAAACGTTGTAAGATACTAAGGGTCCCCCGATCACGAAATTCCAAGAAGTCTTGAGCGCTGCCAGCATTTCGCGCGTGGGCCTCCAGGACGGTGACCCCACCCAACACGACCCGAATATCCCCAACGGTTGCTGAGAAGCGCCTAAGAGGGTCCAGAGGGCCCTGAGACGGTCCCAAAGGCCCAAAAGCTGCCCATGATGCCCTCCAGACAGCCCAAGGGGCCCCGAAGGAGGGGGGGCACGAAACGTGTGAAGGGGTGTGCCGAAATGGGCGCAACGGTACCATTCAAACCCTTCCACTGGAGTCTTCGGTGGAGCTCCCTCCGACCTCACGAAACGTGTGAGGAATGTAACCGAATACGCACGGCGGCGCCATGGCCATGCAAACCCTCCTTTTGGGGCTTTCGGTGGAGCTGCCTATGGGGCCACGGAAAGTGGGCAGGGATGTGCCGAAATATGCGCGGCGGCGCCATTCTAACCCTCCCACTGGGGCCCTCTTTGGAGCCCCCTGTGGGGCCACGGTGCCGAAATGGGCGCGGTGGCGCCATGCGAACTCTCCCACTGGGGCCACAGGTGGAACTCCCTATGGGGCCACGAACCGCCTGAAGTGTGTGCCGACATTGATGCGGCGGCGCCATGCGAACCCCCCCACTGGGGCCTTCGGCGGAGCTCCCGATAGGGCCACGGAACGTGTGAGAGGTGTGCCGAAATGGGCGCGGCGGCGCCGTACGAATCCTCCCTCCTCCCTCTGGCGCCTTTCCGCGGAACTTCTTCGAAACGTGTGAAGGGGTGTGCCGAAATGGGCGCGACGGTACCATTCAAACCCTTCCACTGGAGTCTTCGGTGGAACTCCCTCTGACCTCACGAAACGTGTGAGGAATGTAACCGCATACGCACGGCGGCGCCATGCAAACCCTCCTTTTGGGGCTGTCGGTGGAGCTGCCTATGGGGCCACGGAAAGTGGGCAGGGATGTGCCGAAATAGGCGCGGCGGCGCCATTCTAACCCTCCCACTGGGGCCCTCTTTGGAGCTCCCTGTGGGGCCAAGCAACGTGCAACGGGGGTGCCGAAATGGGCGCGGTGGCGCCATGCGAACTCTCCCACTGGGGCCACAGGTGGAACTCCTTATGGGGCCACGAACCGCCTGAAGTGTGTGCCGACATGGATGCGGCAGCGTCATGCGAACCCCCCAACTGGGGCCTTCGGCGGAGCTCCCGATAGGGCCACGGAACGTGTGAGAGGTGTGCCGAAATGGGCGCGGCGGCGCCGTACGAATCCTCCCTCCTCCCTCTGGGGCCTTTCCGCGGGACTTCCTCGAAACGCGCGAGGGGTCTGCCGAAATGGGCGCGACGGCGCCATGGGAATCCTCCCCCTGGGGCCTTCGGTGGAGCTTTCTATGGGGCCACGACCCGCCTGAGGTGTGCGCCGACACGGGTGCGGCGGCGTCATGCGCACCCCCCCGCTGGGGCCGTCGGCGAAGCGTGCGAGAGGTGCGCGGCAATGTGACTGATGCTGGCGATCGTGCTGATGCTGATGCCGACGCGGCTGGCACTGGCGATGATGATGTTGATGTTGCCGGCGCTGCTGATGGCGGTGCTGAATGCGATGGCGGGAACGCTATTGAAAATGACGACGGTGGTGAATGATGACCATGATGATGATAGTGATGATGATGGCGGTGGTGATTTTTTTCCCGACGCAACAATGGCAATGACCGGTGGCAACCAACGCAAGCCCATATAAATCCGATGTCAGCCAACGAGCGCAGCAGGGCATAAGTTAAATCTAGACAGATGCAAATCCAGCCAGCTCAAGGCTTCTGGCGCCATGGAAGCCGAACCGCCGCAACGGGCGGGCGCCAAGGGAGACAGCTGACAAGCAGCAGCAGGGAGGGAGGACGGAGGTGGGGACCGATCGATCGGTCAAGGCCAAAAACTCGCAACAAAGCAAGTCACCCGAGAAGCATCGAGGCGGCTGGCGGGAACAAGCTGCGGCGGCGGGCGGGCAAGGTGCCTTGAACTTGCCCCGACCTCTCGCGCGGCCACAGGCAGCACTAACAGCGACGAGCCGACAAGGGATGACCCAGCATGGTCGCATCAGCTGAGCTGCACCAGAGGGTGCAGGACCGCTTTCCCAAGTCGGCACTGGGGCCCGAACTCCAGCGCGACCCAGAGCGGAACTCAACACACATTCGACTGTCCGACTGTACCAAGCAAGGGAGCAGGGCGGGCGGCGGGCGGCACGGACTCCATCGAACTGCAGCTCCACGAGAGAGGCGGCACCGACAGCCCCAGAGAGAGCAAGCGGCAGCGGCCAAAACACCCGAGGACCGAAGGAGGAGGAACCCCAGGGCCAACGAGGTGAAGAAGAACGGCCCACGGACCGAGCAGAGAAAGGAGGAGGCGGACCACAGGACCGCTTTTCGAAAAAGATGACCACTAAAACCACAGGCAACTAACCACCAGGGTTGCGGAGATACTGAACAGCAACCCGAATCGCTGGACGCCTCTGCATCACGAGACGCAAGCGGCCCTCGAAGACTTAAGACTTGCCCGGGAGACGCACGACCGAGAGCCGCCCGAAGACGGAATTGCAAGCGCGCGCGAACAAAACTGTCGACCAGGGCGCAGAAGGCGACATCACGTTTGACATCGGGCGCACGGCCGTGAACACAACACAGAACAAGACGAGGAGAAGCACAGGGGAAAAACAAGAGGAGCCCAGAACAAGAAAAGAGACAGGGCGCGAGGACGCCAGACGTAGTGGCACTGGTCATCACGGCCGCGGCGACAACCAAAACAACACGGCTTCGGATCGGCGAGAAACCTCGCAGAGGTCCAAGCCCGACGGCAAAAGACCCGCAGGACGGCAACAACTCAAAACATGGAAACGAAACGGCAAATTTGTCGCGTCAGAATCTAAAGACTCGGAAACCAAACAGCACGGCCGAGCGGGAGAGGGAGTAACTTCAGCACTCTTCTAGGCATTTCTCCAATCATCACCCCAGGTTTAACAGCGCTGCGCACACATCTGACCAACTTCGCATGAGTCATCAACGCTGGATCAGGGTCAATAGCGGTTGCTGCCGGGGAGAGGTCAGCCACCGCATGAGTGATGCGCGAGAGAAACGGGTCTGCAAACCACCCAGAGACCAATCTGGCGGGGATCCGGTCATTCGAGGAGCCGCGAATTTCCGCCGACGCTTCCACGCATTCGCCCCAAGCACGCGAACCCATGGCCGCCCGATGCACAGAGGATTGGACAATGAAGGCAACCGAGTGACAGAACGCGTTGCAACCGGCGTCGTCCAGAAAGTACATCATTTAGCCATTGAAGCTGCAACGCGGGCCCGGTTAAATAATTTGCAGGGCGCGGTCTTCTAGCTGGAAGAAACGAGGGGTGGAACTGAAGCACATAGCTGAGGACGGCCACAGCCCGCACATTGTAAGCAATAATCGACTCTGCCACTCCCACTTTTACCCCGCGAATCTTACAGGCACGGAAGAAATATTTATCGCATTGAATGGGGAAGCTGTGAAGATGCGCCACAGGGCCAACGGAAACTCCAAGATAGCGGCACCATCGAACAACCTGGAGACGGTCACAGCCCGCCCCGCAGACGCCAGACAGTTCGAGAAGTCTCGCATGCAATGTTCTCTTTCTGCTGCTTCATACCCTTCTGCATAGCAACAATGGTGGCAGCAAGTTCGCTAACCTGAGCCGAGATCATGGTGAGGGCTTCATTCACCTTATTCACCTGAGCGGACAACTCCTTGATCGCAGCATCGGTGGGCGAGGGAGCCATGGCCACGCAACCCCGGGCGCTGGTGACCCGAGCGGAGAGGGGGGGGGCAGCAAGCAGGGCAGAGCCAGCAGGCAGCTGTGCCTGCACCTCGAGCTCTCCGTCGGCTCCGAACAAGGTCGAAGTGCCAGGGGCAAACGTTTCGACCTTGAGCCAAAACGGCTACGTATGATGATGATGGTGTTGATGATGAGAATGATGATGCGGATGAGGAGGAAGAGGAGGTGAGGGTGAGGGTGAGGGTGAGGGTGAGGGTGAGGGTGAGGGTGAGGGTGAGGGTGAGGGTGAGGGTGAGGGTGAGGGTGAGGGTGATGGTGATGGTGATGGTGATGGTGATGATGATGGTGATGGTGATGGTGATGGTGATGGTGATGGTGGTGGTGATGGTGACGGTGATGGTGATGGTGATGGTGATGGTGATGGTGATCGTGATCGTGATGGTGATGATGAGGATGAGGATGATGATGATGGTGATAATGATGGTGATGGCAATGATGATGCTGACAATGGTGATGATGAAGATGGTGCTGATGACGATGGCGTTGATGGTGACGAAGAAGATGATGATGGTGGTGATGGTTGTAATCCCACCAGCCCTCTGGGCGTAGGTGGTCTAGAACAGATCCTCTTCCACCCCTCCCTCTTCCCCCTTGGGGAGGGGTTTACCCCTCCCCCTACCCCCTCCCCTGGACCTGGACGGGGGGGGCCGCGGGTAGTTAGAGCGTCCAAGATGGCCCAAGACGGCTCCAAGAGCGCCTCAGAGAACCCAAGATGAGCTCCAAGATGGCTCAAGATAGCGCAAGATCGCTCACGATGGCTCCTAAGATGGTTCCAAGAAGCCCAAAGACGGCCCCAAGATAACTCCAAGTGGCCAAACAGCTCCCCAAGGAGGCCCCGAAGAGGCCAAAATCGTCCCAAAACCTAAGGAAAATCAATGATTTTTGCTTTCTCGCCTTTTCGCTTCCGATGGCCATCCGAGGCCTGGAGATGGCTCCAAGATGGCCCAAGAGGGCCCCAAGAGAGCCCCAAAAGAGCCCCAAGACGGCCCCAAGAGCGCCCAAGAGCACTCCAAGAGCGTTCCAAGAGGGGTCCAAGAGGCGATTTTAGGGGCTTCCGAGGGGGGGCGCTAATTAAACCCCCCCTCTTGTTTGATCGACTCCCTCCAAGATGGCCCCAAAAGCGCCCCGAAGGCTCCCCAGAGCGCCTCAAGAGGGTCCCAAGAGGCGCCCAAGATGCCCCAAGGCGCCCAAAAAGCCCTCCAAGAGGCCCTCAAAAGACCCCCAAGAAGCTCCTTCCCCTCCTCCTCCTCCTCCTCCGATTCTTCCTCCTTCTCCGTTCTCCTCCTCCTCCTCCTCCTCCTCCTCTTCCCCCTCCTCCTCCTCCGACGACGACGACGACGACGACTCCTCTTCCATCCTCCCCCTCTCGGGGTCTGTGACAGCTTCCCCCGCCCTTTGTTATTCTGCATGCTCCCCGACTTCCCTGATCACCTTAACTCCCCTGAGCATCGTTTCTGGATGGGCTGGTGGGGATACGCGAAGCGTCAACAATTGCAACGCAGCTGGTGGTCATGATAATAAAGATTACGTTGGTGGTGGTAGGGTCGATGATGATGTGGATGAGTATGATTATGCTGATGAGAACGATGATAATGGTGGTGATGCTAATGACGGTGATGATGATGGTGATGATGGTGATGCTAATGACGGTGATGATGATGATGATAAGGGTGATGATGGTGATGATGGCGATGTTGATGTTGATGATGATGATAATGGTGATGATGATGATTATGATTATGGTGGTGGTGATGATGGTGCTGGTGATGAGGATGATGATGCTGCTGCTGGTAGTGAAGATGAAGACGATGACGATGATGATGCTGATGTTGATGCTGATGATGATTTTGATGATGATGATGTTGATAATGATGATGATGCTGATGATGATGATGCTGATGGTGATGATGATGATGATGATGATGATGATGGTGGTGGTGGTGGTGGTCATGATGATGGCGACGAGGAGGAGGAGAAGGGATGAGGAGAGGGGGGAGGAAGGAAGGAAGGAGGGAGACGCGGGGCACCGCTGGTTCAAAACGAGGACCCAACACCACAGGATGGTTGGGAATCAAGAGCTTCCCAGGTCGTCGGTCTTCCCGCTCTAGACGGCCTCCAAGACGGCCGAGACAGTCTCCAAGACGGCTGCAATGGCCACAAGGCGGTCCAAATGGCCCCAAGATGTCTCCAGGACAGGCGGAGATGCCCAACAGGTGGCCCAAGATGGCCAACTATGGCCTCAAGATGGCTCAAAACGTCCCAACGAGGCCTCCAAGACAATCCAAGAGGCCTTCAAGAGGACCTCCACGAAGGCCTGAAGGAGATAGAATAATTTGTTGTCCTCAGCGGTTTTGGCTGGCCGATAGCTTGGCCGAGCTCTAGCCGAGCTCCGGCCGCAACGGTCGGCCACGTAGGCGCTCCAAAAAGCAGGGGGCGGCGGTAATTCGTGGTAGGCGTGTTCAATACTACTCTATCGCCATCGAACTTGCTGTCGGGCTTTAATTCGACGTCGTCCTCGCCACGCACCTTGATGCCCGTGGCCTTGATAACCTCATCGAACTCTGGAGGCTGCGTTACTCGGATCTTGTAGTCGTGGTGCACTTTCGAGCCGAAACTGTACCAAGCCTGTGCCTTGCGGCGGTCCTGCACTCGGATGACGACCTCCTTGTCGAGGGGACCGATGGTGTCGTTCAAGGCGATTGTCGTGTTCGGCTCGCCCAGGGGGTCGTACTCTTGGCTCTTCCCGTCCACAAGGATATCGGGAAGCTCGTCGGAGTACATGTCGCGGTTCAGGACCATGTGGAACCTGCAGGGGCAGCAGCAGAGGGAGCAGGAGCAGGAGCCAAGGGCTACGGGTGGAGGAACAGCAAGGGCTGAAGGTTGAAGGGGGGAAAGTGGTGGTGGTGGACTCCTCCCTCTCCTCCTGCCCCGTCCCCCCTCTTCGGGTCAGCAACTCCCGCGGCTGGAGCTGCACGCCCCCGTCGGTCGCTCCCTGCGGAGCCCTCCCGCGGAACTCCGATCCAATCCGATCCGGGCCCCCTCCTCGCCTCCTCCTCATCCTCCTCCTCCTCCTCTTCCTCCTCCACCCTATCCTCCTCCTCCTCCTCCTCCTCATCCTCCTCCTCCTCATCTTCCTCCTCCTCTTTCTCATCTTCTTCTTCTTCTTCGTTTTCTTCCTATTCCACCATATCCTCCTCCTCCTCCTCCTATCCTCCTCTTCTTCCTCCTCCTCCTCCTCCTCCTCCTCCTCCCCCTCCTCTTTGTCTTATTCGCATTGTTCTTAGTTTGGGTCTCCGTCGCATTATTACCCGTAGTATGTGTATCATTGGTATCCGTCTACGTCTTAGTGTGATTATTAGTACTATTATTATTCGCATTACTAATATTAATCGAACTAGTCTTATGTTCCTGATTCACACTCCTCCTCCGCCTCTTCCTCCTCCTCGTTCTCCTCATCCTCCCGCCTCCTCCTCCTCCTCCTCCTCCTCCTCCTCCTCCTCCTCCTCCGCCGCCCCTCCTCCTAATCCTCCTCCTCCTCCTCCTCCTCCTCCCCCTCCTCCTCCGACGCTCACTTTAAAAGGCAGTACCTCCCCAGTGTGGCACCATTCGTGCCACTCGATTTTGTCGGTAACCCGTAGTCATCTCGGGTGAAGGCTTCACTTTTCCAAATTCCCGTAAGTATATCCAGTTCTTGTCTCCGAGCTCACCACTTTACGGCAGTAACTGCGAGGCGGGCATTCATCCATCTCCACCGCCTGGGAACCGACGTCCTGGTGCCCCAGCGGGCGGTTGCTCTGGATATAGAGTTTGGCCCCCGGGGGCCCGAAAATGTTCATATCCACCGCCTACCGAGGTTCCCGAACATTCATCCTCCAGGCGGTGGTCGTGTATAAACTCCCGCCTCGGACCAGCCGTAAGTAGGGCACGTCCCTCTACAGGAGGGATACATAGTCATCGGAAAATACTCTGGGGACGATTGATCTGTTATGTATGAATAGTGTTTAGCATGCTCTGACTATGCATTATCTTTCTTCTAAAATCCGCCTGCAGGGGGGACATGCCCGACCCAAGAGTAGCCCAGTGTTGCATGTGTGACGCTGCCCCTCGGCAGCAAGTCACCCGCGCCTGCTGGCGCAGGCAGGAGCCCAATGCCGCCGCGCCGCCGCCGCTGCTGCCACCATGGCGTTTTCTTTGTGTTCCTGTTCCTGTTCCCTGTGCTTGGGCTACGTTGGCCTCTCCGCCCGATGACCGACCGACCGACCGACCGACCGAGGAGGAGGAGGAGGAGGAGGAGGAGGAGGAGGAGGAGGAGGAGGAGGAGGAGGAGCA